TGTACGTTGGGGCACTAATTCATTCTTAGTTCTCTGAATCAAAAATTTCAGCTTGGTCAAAAGTTATACCGTAGCACCTATATTGTTTTTACACGCTGTAAAATTCTTACCAACATACAAAAGATCGTCTAGAAAGACCACTGAGCTGTAGCCTTGGGCTCTTAAGGAATGTATAACAGATTTTCAAATTTTAGTGAAGATAAATGGGTTTACATTCAAAGAAAATAGTAAGCAAGTTAATTGGAAAATTTTGTTTTCAAATCGAAAGCTTAGAAACTTTTTAGAATTATTGTAGAACTTTTTAGAGTTCTTCAAATTATTGTGTTCACTAACACCATATATTAAGCATCTTTGAGATCTATAGTGCTCCTAAAACAGTATTTTTGTATCATTTTCGCAGCTATTCGAAGATCTTCAAGTTTAAAGTGTGGTGGAAAGATAAACTTATTAAGGCTCTTGAGATTCAGTAGGAAACGGTCAGTGCCGTCTGTTTTTGCTTCCAAAAAGTAGGAAAAGAAGACCCGGCCTGCCTTCACAACGCCTTTTGAAACTAGGAAATCTATTGCTATTGTTAACCTAGACAATTCTTGTTTTGATTGACAACGCCCTCTAGAACCCTATTTCGTACCACGTCAGAAGTAAACGGAATCTCAAATCTGCAAATGATGTCGAAAATAAATTTATCTGTGGTTATTCTAGCTCAGTTGTCACGAAATGGAGCCAAACGTCCCACGATCTCATTTACTTCTAGTTCTCCGGAGGCGTGAACTTGGGTGGTTGGTGCCTTTGAGGCCCCTCTCTCTTTTTGTTGTTCTTTCTCGCTCCTCTGAACTGGAAGTTTGGCCTGTACTGTTGTCCTTGTCACTCTGCCTGCTAGAATGGCCGTCTTCTATGCAGGCTTGGGCAGTTTAAAGCTGCATTGACCTCTGAAAGGAATCTTCCTTTCATCGTAGCTGCAGGGGTCATAGCTTATCAATCAGGTTCCCATTAAACAGAGAATCATCTGATTTGGTCTATTTGACGACAATTCTCGTCTCTTTGTCCACTGACGCCGTTATGAGAGGCCTTCGGAACTTGGTGTGACTGTAATGTATGGCCACCAAAATTTTAGCAGAATCGCTCAGTCTTTGCACTAGTTGCTTGACCCATTACCTTAGAAACAGTCAATGATCGACGTATCTGACCAGGCTACAAGTACAGACGGGTCAAAACCCAGTACTTCTTTAAGTTCAAAATCTAACAGTCGCTCTTGAACACGAAAGAGTATGTAAGAATAGAATCTTACTCAAAATTTGAACTGTGCCATGCACACGTAACAGTGATATATTGAAGTGAAACTTCTTTAGGTGTGCCTTTTATGGGAAGTTAACCCGTAAAACGAGCGAGCGAAAGCTGCCGTGCACATAAGTATCAATATATATATTATCTGTACGTATTCCAGCCAGCGCTGACTGCGCTTAAAGCAGGGGATCTGTTTGTCTGTCTCTCTTCCTCTCTCTCCCTCTCTCTCGCATGCGCACAATAGTGCACCACAGTTACTCTATCTATACATATGATATAGCTTCTCTCTATAGTACTCTATGTATAGAGTAGGTATACCTACTGCTGCATGGTGGAAATCGTAACGTGGCTGTAATATGGGCTAAACTGGACCTTCGTTACATCTAAGGTACTATCAGGTAAATAATGTCTGACACAAATGTCGCTTGATCTCATTTATGTCTTTGAAAAAAAATAGTAAAAATCATTCTTTTATCCTATTTATCCTTTCATATGTATTCGCTGTGAGAATGAAAACAGACAGCGCTCGAGTCAGCAATTTGTTGTAACGTTGGCTGGATAGCGGATAACTTCCACAATGCCTAGTCTCGAAAAAATATTCATTACAGTTAGTGTAATTTCTGTACGGTTGAACAAGTACTATTGAAAGATGATATGAATCATCAGCTTGACTACAAACAATGTGTTTAATGATTTTAGTGCGTGCATAACTCACACGCCTGTAACAAAGTCGAGCAGGCTGACCTTTTTCTGTTATTTGGACTGTCAGATACATCAAATTTGACGTCACGTTTTCTTCTGGTAGCCGCATCGAGATATTTTGCTTGAAATCGTTACAGGCGTATGAGTTACGCACGCACTAAAATCATTAAACACATTTTTTGTAGTCAAGCTGATTGTTCACATCATCTTTTAGTGGTACTTGCTCAACCGTACAGAAATTACATCAACTTTATTGTATATTTTTTCGAGACTTGGCATTGTGGAAGTTGTCCGCTATCCAGACAGCGTTGCAAAAAATCGTAGACTCGAGTGCTGGCTGTCTTCACACTCACAGCGAATATATGTATGTAAAAAAACGTATATTAAGTATTAAATATGTATAATATGACAACTTAACCTTTGAAAACAAAAAAAAAACGCTTTGTCTCGAAAGGGAAGCAAAATTGGCTAAAAGTAACAATTTTTACTGGCTTGAATTACATGAACGAGGTGTAAAAATATAGAGGGGTTGGAGTATGCACAAACATAATCTTAATTACTTCTTTTTTTAACTGTATCTTGAAAAGAACAAGTAAAAACAATTTTTTTTATTTAGTCTGGCATGTTTGGGAAACTAACATGGACGTTGATAAAATTTTCGAAAAATTTTTGTTATAACATAACCTCTCAAAAGTAGGAAAACAACCGTATCTTGAAAAGGAAGACAGATAGGCTAAAAATAGTTCCACGTACAGAAATCAAGTATTGAGGTACAAAAATGTGTGTTACACTGATTGATACAAACAATCGTAATAATTCTAAAAATAATAAAAGTCATATCTCAAAGGCAAAGCTACATCCTTCATTTTCTACCTATAAATTGATTTTCTGTTCTCTATTATATATTATAAGAAAAATTGTCACGTGACCAAAACCTATATTCTCATTATTAATTTTTTGAGATCTGTAAAAATTAATTAGGCACGGGTGAATTTTAATATTGAATTATAAATAATAATAGAAAACAAATTGAATGAAAAATTATAACTTTACAATGGAAATTGTCTATTGTTTTTCTTAATCTCAATAAGATAGAGTGGATTATTTCACTTTTATGGTAGCCAAAATTTTTTTTTCATTCTGCATCACATGACCAACAATTCGTACATGTATTGTATATATCATAGCAAACATGGAAGTTCTTAGAATGCGCGAATCACATCTAATATCGGATTCTTAAAGATCTATTGAAAGTAGGTGTACTCTAATTATTTCGTTTTTTTAAAAATTCATACTTGTGCCTTAAAAGTCGTTTCTCAGGGGTTTTCAAGGTCGCTGGTCACGAATTTAGGGTCTGTTTGTGTGCAGAGGTGGTTTCAATGCCGTTTTACTCCTAATAAACAATATTCAAATAAGTTCTTTATGGTTTCCTGGAAGAGCATTTCCAAGGTAAAGTAGTAAGATTTACTGAAAGTGGGGGTGATTTTAGGAGTTGAAACTACCCCTGCGAAAAAATAAGATTTTTCTTAAACCCGGGACGATTCAACCAGTTTTCGATATTTTTCAGTTTAGTCTGGTTTTTTTACGTGAGAAAATTAGTATTCAAAATTTCTAGTGGGGTGGAAAACAGAGTCACAAGTCCTTAAATGCTTGCACACAATTTTTCTTTATAGAGATAAAGAAACTCTAAGGGTACATAGAATAAGAAGAAAATCGGTTCAAGTGTGTGCCTTGAAATAGTATATTGCATACAAGTTTGCAAAGGATTCGATTTACGAACAGAGAGGTTTACGGTACGAGCCGAAGGCGAAGGCTGGAACGAGATTCGTAAAGAAGCCTTTTCGAATGAGTTTCGTATACTATTTTTCCGCCTGAGAATCCAAAATCAAGCGGTGATTGTGCTATTTTAAGGTCAGAAGGCGGTAATAGTATATTACGCACCTAGTGAGTGAGGTTAAGAATGTCGCAGATTTCACGTGAAAAAATGTTTTTTTCTTCAGGACATTTCTTAACCTCTAAACGTGGTGCGTATTCTGTTTTTAATCAATCCTGCGCCGAGAGAAGGGATTTTTTATCCGCGAAGCGGAATAAAAGTTTCTACTTTCGGGGCAGTATGATGAAAAAAAAATTTTTTTTTTGGAATGTGTACATCCAAATAAGAAATATATTTTCTCGTATGTGCAGTATACTTTTGCGCAACCAAACGACAGGAAGTAAAGACTGATTTTGCTCTCCAAACCCAAGGAAACAAAACGAACTTTCAGCAGGAGAATGGTGAAAAATTTACTGTCATAAAATGGCTGATCTATATAGAAGAATATGTTATTGATTGCTCTACATTCTGTGGGAAAAAAGCTCTCACATAGCTTTGGTTTGTTTTGTGATTAATGCCCACGTATAACATACGTACCATAAGTACACTGAAGGCCGTTTAATTCGTTGAGCGGAAAGTCGAGCTTCGCCCAGATGCGTAAGTGTCCCCTCCTCTCATCTCTTCGAGAGCGAGTCGGCCTCCGAAATTCTCCGTTATTTTCCTTCTTCTTTCTCCTCTTATGCCCTTTTGTTATCTAGGGGAGTGATCCTCACGGACCTGTCCCATGCGGGGAGGTTAGTTTTTAGTCGGTAGGCACACCGGATGAATCCGACACTACCACCGGATTAGCTGGGGTGTCTATGAAGATTTTCCCCTCCCCGCTCCATCAAACAAAAAAAAAACAAAAACAAAAAAATGAGCGGGAAGTATAAAATTTACCAATTTACCAATTTACCAATGGCCTCCACTGTACGTGATCAAAGCTTCACACCATTTTAATGTAGTTCAACTTTTTTTGTTAAAATAGTAAATAACAATTATAACCGAGTAAAGAAAGACCATTTAAAGTTTTGTATTTCTACTTCTGCGATTTTTAAATTAGTAAAAATCAAATGTTATTTCGTGAAATCTTTGCAAACTAGAGAATAGATACAGTGCTTCTTTAATACTTATGATTTTAAAGAAAAATATGAAAAACACCTACCTGAGTGACTACATATGAGCCTTTCATACTAAAAAGAGGCTTGTGAAACATGGTAAACTGCAGTCTAAGTTTTCCCATATCATCGGCTACCCTAAAGCTGTCAGCGAGTGTAGTAAACCAGCTTATAATATCTTCATTACCATAAGTAATTAACCCTTGACCAAATTGGTGTTTTCCATCAAGAATAAAATTTAATATTCCTCGAATAGAATTTTCAGTAAGTAATGTTTCTTCGTCAAGGTGAACAATCCAATCATGATCAGCTAACTCATTGACAGAATTTTCTAAGCAATATTGTAGGGCTCTGGCTTTAAACAGAGCTCCACTGCTTGTTCGGTAGGTAGAAGGCACCACTACTTCTCGTACCCTCCTATGTGCTGCCAAGCCAATGGGCTTATCACTCACTACTTCTATTTGAAAGTTCTCTAGACCTGCATCAATGCACTTGTTCAAATTTCTGTCTACATTCGTTTTCACTAATTGGGGGTAATCACCACGAGTCACTACCCTGATGCAGACAAAGGGTGCAAGAAGAGGTGAGCCCTTAAGATCTACTTTGGTTAAGAAGGCATTGTAAATGGTAAGTCCAATGAAATTGAAGAGAACTTGAGGAAAGGAGAGAAAAGTCAGAGTTCTTAAGAGATAAAGCACAAGAGTACCCACAAAGCCGTACTGATGCCATGGATCGAGTTGGCTCTGGTCTCTTGGTCCCCAGTGCAAACCACCTGATACAAATTCAAAGAGCAGTATAACGGTCACTAAAAGAAAGCAGTGCAAAGTATGCTTAATCCAACTGCTTAGCATTATATCTGAAACATAGAAAAAGAGATAAAGAAAAAACTGAAACTTAATGAGAAGTATTTATGATTTATAATCTATATATTTATTTGTTATATAATGATAGCAAGGTAACTTACACAAGCTATAGCAAGGTTGACTTCGAAAAAATGACGATGTGACACTCAAAACTTGACCCAAAGTGAAAAAGATAACAGCAGAATAGCAGAAACTCAGTAAACCTGATTAAAATCATTCTATTATGATATGAAGTGTTAAAAAATAATTTAGCCTAAAATCATACAACATTTTAGTATTAAAACGGTCCTATCCATGACAGTCTATAAGTTATAGCTGCAACTTGACTGCGATTCACTAATTGAATCATATTAAATTCAAAAAATTATTAACAAATTATTGTATGTTTATTACATAAGTATTTTACCAAAAGAAAGTTCTGATATTAAATAAAAAATTTATTTT